GCGGAGCAGCCGCCCGTTAATTAACGCGGGGTTAATAAGCCGGGGTGAGGAGCTCCGGTCTGCGCTCTCGCACCCCGGCGGACGTACGGTGTGAGCAGGGTGACAACAAAGCAGAACACCCGAGAGGAGGCTCGGTTCTTACTGCCCCTCACTCGCCCAGCCCTGCGGCCCCCTGAGAGCTGATGGGGGTTGGACTGGACCATGAAGTGCACTTGAACATGAACGTGGTGCCCTCCTTGGGGACAGGGCTCTGGTGCTCCCGGGGGGTTAGGAAGCATGGGAATGGTTTGGGGAAACAGCCCTTTTCCCTGTGCTGCAGGGAAACCTCTGGTTGAAACATGGACAGGACAGAATTCCTGGGAAATAAAGATAAGCCACGTCCACTAAGAGTATGGATGCCCATAGGGGTGTTTGGGGGTGCCAGTTCAAAACTGCCACTTCCATGAGGTATCTGGCAGCCGGAGAGTTGTAAAAATAAAGAGGACTTGGAGGAGGGTGAGTTTGCACACTTTGAGGGTTTAGGTGTGCAAAGAAGCGAAGTACAGTACATGTGTATATCTCCCTCCATGTATAGATGCACATACATACACATACCTCCCCAAATTCCTGCCTCACATAACAGCTTGGGGTGTTGGAGTAGCTGTGTCTCCAAGGTGACCCAACAATAAACTGCTCGCCCTTTCCTCATGGCAACCACACAGACGCCTCTTCAGAACACTGGGAATTCTTCACAAAAGGATATTTCCTCTGGGAAACAGCCATGGGGCTGATTTCAGTATGATCCTGATACATGGATAGGGAGGAGGAAGAACAGAGGCTGCTCAAGAGATAGGAGGTAGCTTGGAGTGATCTAGTCTCATTGCTCTTTCTTTCTCTCCTCCCCTTCTCCCACCCTTCTCCCTATTTCCTCTCCCAGCTTGTGAACACGTTCTTTAGTTTCCTGAGGCGTAAAACGGATTTCTTCACCGGGGGAGAAGATGGAGTAGCAGAGAAGGTAAAGAAACCCCAAATCCTTTTATGTCTTCTCACTTACCTGCCACCTCTATCTGTACCATACTGAGCCTTCCATGCCTGAACAGCCCAAAACATTCCTGTGTGCTTGGGGACGCTATAATGCTGATGAAACACAGTGCTCTGAAGCAAGGTAAACCCAGTTGCCCCTATCTGATTGCTCCTTCAAATGGTACCAATGGTGTGGCAGGTTCTTTTGCCACGCTCTGGCCAAAGGCTTGTTTGGAAAGCAAATCTGCCAGACACACTGACTTAACGGTGACACACACCGTGGTGTTGATAACCCCACGTTACCTTGTTTGTTCATCTCAGGAAAAGCACAAAGTCCACATCTCTGCACCGGCGGCTGCACCTTTGTCCCGGGGCTGCGGAGCCTGGATGGAGCTGGGGAGCAAGCCTGGGGGTTCTCAGGCAGCCTGAACTCCTCACCCAGCTTCAGAGCTGAATAACTCAAGTGTTTCACTGCAGAGAAATAAGATTCAGAGCATTCACACATGAACTGGCCAGACTTTCTTGCTTATATTTACCAGTATAGCAGTTGTTGCCCTTCCTGGACTGCTGGAACTCTAGCAAATCAGATGCTGCTGCTGTGCTGAAGGTGTTAGGGTAGATGTTAGTTGCTAACACAGTGTGTAATGTGCTCTGTCTAGTCTCTAAAGGGACAAAATGAAAGCAGGAAAAGAGGATGGTTTCCAAGTAGGAAAGATTAAGCCTGCTGTCGTTTGACTAAAGAACAAATTTCCCTGAATTCCTGGACTGCTCCCAGGGAGTGAAACCAGAGCAGCATTTCAGAGATGACACTGGCTGGTGATTCTGGAGGTCCTGGCTACTTTTACTGGCAACTCCATTGAAATCTGTGCCTGTAGAAGGACAGTGTGTCCTTAGGTGGTATCTGTTAAAATGCTGTAAGGTCTTCTGAAAAGGTGCTTAATACAGAGTCTCTGACACCACAGAAACTGCACCAAAACTGGAAGAAACTGATTCTCTGAAGCAGAAATACTTTGTGGTGGTTACAAAACTCCAAGGTGTGGATGCTTTGAGTTGATTTGGAAAAGCATTGAACCCCCCTGAAAGTTTCTGGGGTATATATAAGCCAGCACCTGCCCCCTCTGGCTGAGAAATCTCTCCAGTTCCTTTTCTTGGGTTCTGTCTACACTGTTTTTCCGGAGCAAATTTCAGTTCTCATACGTGCAGCTTTGCACAGTGCTCCTGGTGTTATCGGCCGTGGGGCAGTTGCTCTGGCTTCCTGCCTGTGTACTCAGCTTCCCTGCTGAGCAGCACAGCCCTTTGCATCAGAGACCTTGACATTTTGCTTTTCATAGTCACAACACAAGATTTGGGAGTGGATTTATGTAGGAACTTGCCCCTGAGTGTAAAACATGGAGCTTTTCAAGTGTTTCTCCTCTAAGTCGTGACACCAAATATCCAATCTGGAAAAGCCTAGTCATGGGAAAGGTCCAAAGTAGATAAAAAACCTTGGATCTGGTGTCTCTGTTCTTCCAGCTGTGCTGTCCTTATTGGAGTAGCTGTCAAATGACTGGGTAAGGCATCTGCTCATCCTCCCAGAACTGCATAAAGGGCAGGACAAATGGACAATTGTTATTTCCCTGTTATCTCCATGAGAATCCCTGAGTAAGGAAGAACTAGGAAGGACTATATTGAAATACTCTTCAGTTTTCTGCTACTCTAGATTTTCAGTCAAAAGACTGGAGGGAAAAGGAAGGGAAAAGTCACAACATCTGCAAGCGTTCTCACAGACAGCAAGTTGGCTTCATTTGGGTTGTTTAAACCCCTTTGGTGCTGTTCCTGTCTTCCAGCTGATCACAGACACCTTCAACCATCACAACAAACTGGCTCAGAAGGAGCGGAAGGAGAAGAAGGCTCGTCAGGAGGCAGAGCGGCGTGAGAAGGCGGAGCGAGCCGCGAAACTTGCTAAGGAAAAGCAAGAAGCAAATGAGCCAAGGATTAAGGAACTTACAGATGAGGAAGCAGAAAGGCTGCAGCTGGAAATCAACCAGGTAAAAGTGATGTCTGGTGCCTGCAGGTACCACTGGATCATCTCCTTCTCTGGCTGCGTGAAGTTCTGGTAGCAGTGAGGGGTTAAAATGGCTCAAACTTGTTCCTTTGCAGTGGCAACCGTTGCATTTTCACCTGGATTCTCCCATAACTCAGTCTGCTTTTCTGCCTTCAGCAAGATCTCTGATTGTAGCAACACCCTCTGCTACAGTCATCCAAAGCTGCGAGGACCAAGGGAGTCCTCCCCTTGGCAGTACTGCTTTCCTCTGACACTGTTCTAAGGGCTAAAATTTCTTCAGTGCAGGTCTGAGTCCTGATCTTTGGTTTCAGCTGAAGAGGTTGAGGCCACCTAGTGTCAGATCAGCAAGTAACACAAAGTGCCAATTTTAGGCTGAAGGTGTTTGTTCTCTTTTTAAACAGAAGAAAGAGGCACAGGGAGAGGTTAACAGTGTCCCAGTGAAACCCTCGGAGGATGAAGGCGAATCTTCAGATTCTAACAAACAGGTAAAGCTCATTTAGGGGCTTTATGTTAGGCTGAGAAAAATATGTTTCTGGACAACCCTGAGAACTTTGAAAGGGAGGGGCTGTCCAGTCTGGCATCCTTTAAGAATCACACACTTAATTCTAATTTTCTTTACACTTTAAATTGTTGCTTAGGAAACAGATGATGAAGAGGAGGATGAGAAGGACAAAGGAAAACTCAAACCCAATTCTGGCAATGGAGCTGACCTTCCAAATTATAGATGGACACAGACTCTTTCAGAACTGGATGTAAGTCTTGCCTTATTACCAGGATTTGAGGAATCTGAGACAGGGACTAAGAGCAGGTGCTCTAGGAACACTGGAGCCAATGCCCTGGAACTCAGCTGCCTGTGGGACACTTTTAGTTGTACTTGACAGCAGCATTTCAGTAGCTGGGAGAGAGCTTGGTAACTAAATCAAATTCCCCAGAAGCTGTACTTAACTTTACCAAACCTTGGTCTTGTTTTAACAAGACATTAAAATCTTCTTCCCTTTTATGGTCCCTTTGATTTATTGGCCATCCTGCTGCCAAACTTATTCTGGCATCCTTTCACCTCCTGCTCACTCAGTACCCCGAGGGAAATATTCCATGTTCTGTCTTACTCTGGTGAGACCAAGGCAGAAAGTCTTAGAACAGTAGTGTGAGAGGGTGAGGAGAGACTTCACTGCTCAGCTCCTGAAATCTGCTCTTTGTCTGCTCCAGCTGGCCATCCCTTTCAAGGTGAACTTCAGGCTGAAGGGGAAGGACATGGTGGTGGATATCCAGAGACGGCGCCTCAAAGTCGGCCTAAAGGGCCATTCGCCTGTCATTGATGGAGAGCTTTTCAATGAAGTGAAGGTGGAGGAGAGCTCCTGGCTGATTGAAGATGGCAAAACAGTCACTGTGCACCTGGAGAAGGTAAAGCGGGATGAATCAGGGAGGATTCAGACTTGTCTGCTGCTTCTCTGGTGAGATTAGAGTCTGAGAAAACCTGCAAAAGCCCTGGGCTTTGTCAGCTGAGACAAGAACTGTGCTTATCCCTGCTACAAGGTCAGGGCTGCTCCTGGAAGTGGGGTTTTGCAGGTTCCCCCTGTCTTCAGCCTAACTTCATCCTAGTCCAGGATATCAAATTGCTCAGCTGGAAGGAGATCAGTCATTTTAAAGTTGTTCCTTAATGGAATAATGCCATGTTTTGACACCTGTTAGTGACATGAAAACCCAAGGACAGACCTTATTATTATGTCCCTTATTGTGTCCCTTCTCGGCCTCTCCAGGCAATTTGATTGCAGTCCCATTTATGTCATGCCAAAAGTGACATCTGACATGCTCTCAAGATTCCCAGTTGTGGAAATTCAGGCTACCTGACGTGGTTCAGAATGAAAGCTGTACCCTTTATCCATGTCCAGATTTTTCCCGTGTCTGAGGCATAGATTTCCTAGAGCAAGCCCAGAAGAAATAAAATACTTTTGCTACTTCATCCTTCAGATCAACAAGATGGAATGGTGGAACAAACTCGTCTCCACAGACCCAGAAATCAACACCAAGAAAATTAATCCGGAGAACTCAAAGGTAAGAGCTCCCCCTGGTTTACTGAATGGAGCCTTCTCATACATGAACATTAATGTGCCCCCAAGTGAATGAAGCTGAGTTTATAAATTAGCGTCTGTATAAGTATTTCTGCAGCCCGTGCACGCAGCAAAGCATAACCTCACTGTATAGAATCATTGGGGTTTGAAAGGATCTTAAGATCATCCAGCCCCAACCCCCTGCCACGGGCAGGGACACCTTCCACTAGAGCAGGTTGCTCCAAGCCCCTGTGTCCAACCTGGCCTTGAACACTGCCAGGGATGGGGCAGCCACAGCTTCTCTGGGCAACCTGTATTTGTAACCTCAGTGTATTCGTGTTCTCTGCAAGCAGGGTGCATGTATGGGTTGAGACAAGTTATTCCACTTTTAATCAAAGTCCTTGCTTTTAGTTGTCAGACCTGGACAGTGAAACTCGCAGTATGGTGGAGAAAATGATGTATGATCAGCGACAGAAATCCATGGGCCTCCCCACATCTGATGAACAGAAGAAGCAAGACATCTTGAAAAAGTGAGCAGACCTCATTCATTTGTGGGGTTTTCCTTCCCCAGCTCCTCTCCTCTTCCTCTTTGACACAAATACGTGAGCAGAAAGCAGGTTGCCCTTCAATCCTACCCGTGCTCACAACTGCGTAACACGCAGGCACTGAATTGTTGGCCAACCACCAGTGTCTATAAAAGCCTGTGGGGGTAGAAAGCATAGCGGGAAATTCTGGGAATAGCCTAGCTCTGGAATTGTCCTGATCTGCTGATTGCAAGTCCAGGAAGCATGTTTGGGACTGGAGGTCCTGTCTCTACTGAACTTTAACATGATCTTGATTGTTTTCTAATCTCCCTCTTCTCCATAGCCCAGATAATCTCTCCTCCCTGCAGACTTGCCACCAGACTGCTGTCTCCAAGCCAATAGCACTTTTATGTCTTTACTGCCCTGTTTGGCAGAAATGCCCCTTGGCAGGAAGGTTACTCACGGAGCTCCCAAGGCCATGTGGGGAGGTGTGGAGGCAATTCTGGGTCAAGCAGCTTCTTCAGCAAGTGCAAACCCACAGCTTATCTCAGGGCTGGAAGGAGGATCGGTGTCACAGGCCTGACTCCTCTTCTTCCTTGGCTTATCTGTAGTGGCAGAAGCTTCGCTCTGATCGTGCACCGAGTACAGCAGAGGGTGAAGCTGCTTTGGAGCAGAAGCCACACTTCCTTAGTGCCTGTGTGTTTAGTGGAGTAGGAGGTAGCCCTGTCCTCCTGGGAAGTCCACATGCAGGATGCTGGCAAGGTCACTTGTTCAGTGCTCTTCTGAACAAGGTCTTGTTCAGAAGCTCGGCTTCTGTGCAGGTTGGCTGGCAAAGAACAGAGAGGATGTTTAGACTTTGTTCAGGCTTAAGTAGGCTCGCTGACACCCAGGTGGGTCCTAATCTCTGCCTGTGAAGCCCGTCTGGCTGCTAAACAAGGACACTGTTCTTGCAGCACCTATTTCCATGGAATTGGAAAATGGAAATGCTGTGGTGGTGTTTCAGGGGAAACCAGGAGAGGAGAGCATGGAGGAAGACAGAGGCCTGCCCTTAATTTGTGCACGAATCTTCCATGTGGTCCTGCGTTGTGTCCCTTGGTGAACTGCAGGGCAGAGGAGGAAGCCAGGAGCTTCTCTGTGCACTAATTACTCCTGATCACTCAGAGGCACAGTTTATTGTTCTCAGAACCTTCTGATGTGGCAACCTGAGTCCATATAGTCCTGTCTGCTGGCATTGCAGTACACGTGAAATCAGGTTGCACCTAGCCTGAAACCAGATTTCTCTGGTCACGTCCTTCATGAGTTTTCATTGTCACAGCACTGGAAATACTCCCAATGTCCCCAGGAATGCTTAAGTTATTAACAAGTTTGATCTTAAATCATAATCTGCTCTCACAATCTCCCCTCTGCCCTGCAATCTGTCATTCA